CGGCCTCGCCCGGGACCACACCGCCACCATGAACAAGCTGTACATCGGCAACCTCAACGAGAGCGTGACCCCCGCCGACCTGGAGAAGGTGTTCGCCGAGCACAAGATCTCCTACAGCGGCCCGTTCCTGGTCAAGTCGGGCTACGCCTTCGTCGACTGCCCCGACGAGCACTGGGCCATGAAGGCCATCGAAACTTTCTCGGGTAAGCGCGCGGCCACCTCCCTCGGACGCGGCACGGCGAGGCCTCGGGACGGGGTACCCCGCCTGCTCCGCGCGGGCCCCCAACTCCTCTGACCGCGCTGCATCCCGGGGTGCTGGGCTGAGCCTCCGCCGCCCCCAGCCCCCCCAAAGCACTCAAGATCTCGCCCTTCCCCCAGCCCCAAAAGGAGAGCTCGGGGTTCCCTTTCTCTTTTTCCCCCTCGACGGGGCGAGTGCCTCGGTTGGCTGCAGAGGGGGAGTTGGTTTCTGGGGGGCCCAGACCACCCCGATCTGGGTGTTATTTCCACGTCCAGCCCCTCCCTGGTCGCCCTGGACGGCCCCTCAACTTGCACACCCGCAGTTCCCCTTCCTCGGTCTTAGGCCTTTCCTAGGCCCCCCCCCCCCGCGTTTTCGATCTCCCCGCTTTCCACGGAGACTGCGCCCCTGGGACAGAGCCCGGGAGGAAGGGGCTCTCGCGTCCCGCCCAGGGCCTGGGGCTCGAGCCATTTTGATTTGGAAGTGGGGCGTGAGCGGGGTGGCGCGGCGGCGAGTCGCCATGCTGCTTCCGAGACGCCGCGGCCCGGCCAGGGGCGCGCGCTGCACCCGCCCGGGACCCCCTGGGCCAGGGGCCCCCGCCTGCCCCGACAGGTGACCGCCCGCCGGCCAGAGCCCGTCGCCGGGGCTCCGAGGAAAAACAAAGTTTCGTTCTCCACCCCACCCAACCCCCCTTTCCGAGAAACGGGGATCCCCCTGTTTTCCTCGCTCTCCACCTCGAGGAGCAGTGGAGGCCGGGCGCGCACACAAATGCCCTCGCACACTTCCCAAGTCGGGCTCGCAGAGCGATCCACACAATTCGTCTCCGTGATTAAAACAAAAACTAAACAAACAACGAATTTCTAGCTTCCACCATTCCTAGAACCACCCTTTCCCATTGGCCTGCCGAAGCACTGGCTGGATTCCTAGGACGAACTGGAATCCCAGGAACTCGGGTGTCTCCCCTGCCCCTTCCTCCCTCGGCCGGTCACTTCTTCGTATCCATGCCTTTTTTTCTTTATCTTTTTAAATCTTTAGGGAAAGTGGAACTGCAAGGAAAACGCCTAGAGATTGAGCACTCAGTCCCCAAAAAACAAAGGTAAGAAAGAACGCTTCGGGGGAGTGGGGGTGTTCAGGGGTCCATGGCGTCTCTGGTGGAAGAAACCCCATGCAGGCCCTTCCCACCCCCAACTCCGGATGTTGGCGGCTGGGAGGGAAGATTGGCCAAGACCTTGTAGTGGGTGGTTTACAGCTTGTTGGGGTGGGATGGAGGGAGTTAGGGCCTACTAAAAGATGTTGCTTGCAGAATTAAAGGGCGAAAGAAATCAATGGAATATGGAACCCTTAGGAATTCCCTCAAAGTGTGGAGCCATTTTTGTGGGGAAGCTTCAAATCTTGAGAGTTGAGATTCATGGCCCGGGCATTTCCTGCAACTTCCTATCAGATCTCATCTTGTGTCCCCCTCACTTCTCAGCCATAATTCTGACGTGGGTTTAGGGTGATCCTTTTCCAAATCCCAAGGGGATGTGGATTGAGCTCCTTCCACTAAGGATTCTCTTGTGTTGGTGTTATATTTGTGTAACAAGCAAAGATTTTATATATATATGTATATATAATTTCCCACCAGGCCTCCTTCCCCCCAAAACCTGGCATCTTACACCGTCCCCATCCCAACTGGATTTTCCAAAGAATATGCTGTGGCTGTCCTAGCCTTCCCGAGCCCCCCACCCCCACTCCTCCAGCCCATTGTTACTACGGACCATCTGGGGTGAGAGCTTTGTTCAGGCTGTGAGCTGGGGCTCTTTGGAGGGTCTAGAACTCTGTGGATGAATGGTGTGTGTGTGTGTGTGTGTGTGTGTGTGTGTGTGTGTGTATATTCCGGTACTCTCTATCCTCTCCAACAAAATGGGGTACCTCTATCATGCTTGCCAAAAATTCATGGTGGATTTCAGATCTCCCACGGAATTCTGTGTTTCTGCCTTCTCTCTTCAGATTTGAAACACACTGATAGTGCAGTTTTCTCTCCGGTCCGTAGTTGTAAGCAGCCCCCAGAAATCTTTGATCTCCTCGACCCTTATGTCCACTTCCCAGTTGCTCTGCACAGCAGTGGAGCATTTTTGGGGTGGGAAAGGTGCCGGTGGGTGGCTGTGATTTTTTTGGGAAAGCTGTGAAAGGATCCAGTAGAAAGTTTTAACTGGAGATAATCTATGGAGTGGTTTATCTTGTGATATTTAAGTAACTGGGTACTGTAGTGTCCATAGATGATCAATATGGCTTGTAACTGTGTCTCTAGAGCATGTGATCTAACCTCGAGCATTTAAAATACTCTTATTAGAAAGGTAATCAGAATTAGGGGTACAGAGGTAAGAACATTGGAAGGAAGGGAAAAAAAGTACCATTTAGAAACATTTTCTGCAGATGAAACTAAGAAACAAAATTCATTAACACCCGTGGATTTATTGAAGAGTATGGAGATTTCAAGTAAAGGCTGGGTGTTGATGAGAGGTATCTCTTCATAACTGGAATTCTGGAATACAAGAACATTTTTTCATTTTGCTTTTGAGAATGGTTTAAATTTTAAAGGGAATGAAATGAAAAGCAACGAGAAATCACAAAATGTGATGAAGTGGAACTCAAAACATTTATATTTTAATTTTCATGGTGCCCTGTATTTGTGGATCTTTTTCCCCAAGCCGATTGCTTGCTTTTGAGCCATTTCTGGGCCCGCTTTCCCTCCAAAATGCATTACTGAGGGCTCTTTTGAGTTGGAATGGGTGGGGGGGTCTTGTGAGACGACTGAGAAAAAAATCTCCCTTTCCACACTCATATTAAATGAGATCTTTTGTGTGTTCTTCCCTTTCGTGATATAAGTTTTGAGTCCAAACATTGATTCAATTGTCCTTTTCTTTCTTTTTTTGGGAGGGGGGCATGGTGGTGGTGAGAAGGGACTTCATTTTTCTAGCATGAATCAGTTTTTCGGAAGACTCAGGATTTAAAAAAACAAAGAGTTTGTTTTCATTAAGTCAGTTTGCTCTATCATTTTGTGTTCTCTGAGGAAGCTTGTTGTGGTATGTCTTTAGTCTGTGTCTGAAAGTATTCCTGGACTTGGGCTCTTCTTACTGGCGGTTTTTAATCTAAGAAAGAGAAAACTAGTTGATTAAGGCTCACATTCTAAGCAAAGTGAACTGCATGTAGGTATTTTATGTGTATATATTCTTGGGTTTTCACTATTTAAAATAGAAAACTTTTCTTGATGAAAGTTCCAAATGAGTTATGATTTAAATTTCTAAGACTCTCAAAATCCAGAAACCTTAATGTGCCTGTTTTTTTTTTTTCCTTTAAAGATGGGAACCAAACAAAAGATGTACTACAGAAATTACTTCTGATCAGCTCTGATTTGAAAGTAGTAATGTATTTTGTTCTCAATTCAAAGTCACTTTAATAAATATAGTTTGTATCCTTTTAAGAAGTCAAATGACAACATTATATTTAAGCCAAAAATAGCAAATAATTTGAATTTTTAAAATGGGTAACATTGTATCATCTTCCCAAACCCCTTCTTAACCAGTGTTGGAATTTGCTTAAGAGTTTAGACTTTTTGTTGAGAATTTACATATATGTATGTGATAGGTGTCCAGGCTAGGTACCGAGAAGAAAAGCCAAAAAGCATTTTGAAAACAGCTGTGAGATTTGGATGTGTTTACTTTTACTTTTGAGAGACTTAAGAGTAGTCAGGGGTGATGGTCTTAGTGAGACTTGTTACTGGGAAAAATTATTTGTTTTGAAGCGAATCAAACTTGGCAGTGTGGTGGCATGCCTTTTTCTAGAAGAATGTGATAGCATGTTTACTGTCAGCTGGTGTCATCCAAATAAAAGGTGTCATTCTTGAAAAAAATAAAAGTTGCTCTGCATTTTTCTAGCTGGGATCTATTGAAGTTTAACAGTCCTAAGTTTGGTGATGTTTTGGAGGCTGAGAATTGTGGTTTTGTCTTTTAGCTTGACTAAAAATGAGGTGGTTAACATTTTTCCCTCAATTTCCAGCTAGCAGAATGGAAACTAGTCTCTCCAAAGGCAGTGAGTCCCACCTGACTCTTGCCTTAGAGTTTAATTTTCTGGTGTTAATGGCTTAAAAAAAAAAAAAAAACCCTGAAGGTTGTTGTGTAAATAGTACAAAAAATGTGCACTTTTAAAAGATGATTTGTAGAGATTCTGAAGAACTTGGCTCACAAAATAGTTTCAAAACAGGGTCAAAATTTTACCTTTAGGAATAGTTTTCCATTTAATGAAAAAAAATTCAAACTTGTAGTTAGGGGCTGAAAAATGAAAGCTTTTTTTTAAAAAAACAACACCAAACAAACAAGGGAATGAAAGGTACCAGCAGAGAGAGATTTTCAGGTACTTTGCTTTAACAGTTGTAGGTAGAGATTAGTATCCCCATCAGAAAGCAAGTTGACAACTCATAAGGTGAAAGATACATATGACATTGTTCAGTACTACCTTGAAAGTGGAAACAACTTGTAGGATTCTTAGTAAAAAGCCCCTTTAATTAGGTTAGGTTTTTTTAAGTGGAAAAATGGTTGGTTCTTCAGGTTTTGTTTATTTTTGCAGAAAACATCGAAGTTGGTTTATTCTGTCAGTTCTGACTTCCATGTAGAAATTAAAGTTTATAAATTCAGCTAGCAATGATTTTTCTTCATTGCTTAGTGAATCCTTATGTATTTGGTTGTGCTGTAGAATTTTCCATAATCCTTGATGGATTTCCGTAATCCTTGATTTTCTGACCCAAATTAGAAACATGAAATTTAACTCTGATGGTTTCTCAGAAGGAGAACTTCTTACTAATGAAGGGGCAGGACTGCAATTGCAATTCCCATCACTAAATTATTCAAAGAGTAGTTAACTTTTCCAAATGTATAGTTTTAGTGGCAGAGCTTTTGGTAGGAAAAAAGAAACATTCCCTTAAAATCATGTTTCAGAGATGAAATATTTGCAATTGGAAGACTTAATTCAAAGGTTCTTCGTTTCTAATCTTTTAAACAGAAAAACAAACAAACAAACAAACATACAATTGCCTTGATATGTATCATTTGAATCTGGCGTGTGTGTACTTTTAAAGCATACTTTGTGAGTTTATTTATTCAATAACGTGTACCAGGCAGTTGACACATTGAGATAGGCCAGTACATATACACTTTTACAACACTTTAAAAATTTTGGATCTGGTTTAGGTGAATGAAAAGGGGTAGATTAGCAAGTGCTAGTTGTTGAACTTCAGAGAGCGGTGCAGAAGAGACAGGTATTGGCTGTACCTCTGGTGGGTTGGGGGCGTTGTGACACACACAGTGACTGAAGTGGACCAAAGGCATTTGAAGAACGGGTGCTTTCAGCTGGTGGAATTGAATGCAGTAGTCTTTTTTTGCTCTCCTTTCTCTTAAAAGATTCTTAGGAGGTGGCTGATGTCTTTCAGAACGTGTAGCTTAGATTTTGGGGTGTTAGGAAGAGAAAAAGGGGACCCTGGGAGGAGCAGAGTGGGGGATCCGGTGGATTTCCCATTTCCTTTTGAAATACAGAAAAGCAGCTGGAGGCTCCCGGCTACCTGCTGGGTTGCCGCGTTTGGGGGCTGGCAGGGTCTGCGCAGGGGCAGGGTTCTTCTGCGATCGGTGCTCCCGCCTGCCTGTCTTGTTCTGTTAGGGAACAGGGTGAGCGCAGAGTGGCTACCGCAGCACAGGGGGGGGGGGGGGGGGGCGTCCCGCCCTGCAGTCTCAGTCACCATCCCCCTGCTGCTCACTTTCCCCTCGTGCCTCCCAGGGTCCCCAGAACTCTGGACCGTCACATACCGTGTCCCTTGGCACCCCAGATCCCAAACCTGGGCAGCGCCCCTAGGCCCTGGGGACTCCCTCCTTCCTGAGCCCTTCCCATCCTCGGCCAAAGACCAGGGGATCCACGTGAAGGAGAGAGGGAGACCAGGGGAAACGGGGGACCTGCAGCTCCTGCCCTGCCCCAGTAACAGGGCCCCTTGGCCTGGGGAGCACAGCCTAGCGGAGTCAGTTTATCATTATCATCCGCAGGCTTTGCAGAAGGGGCGGCCCGCCGCACTAC